TTCTCCCTCGCGCCAGAGACCATTTTATCACACACACACACACACACACACGCACACACACACACACACACACACACACACACACACACACCCTCAGTAACCTCATATCCCTCCCAGTCTTTACTGGTTTACTCTCCATAAATCTGAATCTCACTTCCTGGTGCTCCCCACCATCACCCCATGACAGATTCCTCAGTTCCAACACACACCCCCAGGCTCTGTGCACCCACCAACCTCATAGCTTCCAAAACTTTATTAAATTTGCTCAGCATTGTGCACACATCTAAAAAACCCAGAGTGAGGTATATCCCTCCCAGTCTTTACTGGTTTACTCTCCATAAATCTGAATCTCACTTCCTGGTGCTCCCCACCATCACCCCATGACAGATTCCTCAGTTCCAACACACACCCCCAGGCTCTGTGCACCCACCAACCTCATAGCTTCCAAAACTTTATTAAATTTGCTCAGCATTGTGCACACATCTAAAAAACCCAGAGTGAGGTACCATGCTCATTGTGCCTGGGAGGACCCCAGCCACAGACTCTACTCCCACCCCATTGCCTCCAAGAAGCCTTCACTTCTTCCGGGGCTGCTTATCTGGGCAGCCTTCGAAGAACTCGTTGCACATCATGGCAATGCAGGACAGGAAGACACAGTACTCCTGGAAGTCCACCTCGTTGTCCCGGTTGCTGTCCAGGTTGCTCATCAGCTTCTGGAATGCAGCCTCATCTGTCCTTTTCTGGAGGCAGAAGAAGCTACCAGTAGAAGACAGAAGCCAAGAAGGGACAGGGAACTGGATCCAAGACTAGACCAGGATTCTGCCACTGGACTGCAGCTCAGGACTGCTAAGGGCTTTGGAATTCCAAGCCTCAGGACTGAGTAGGGTGGAGAAAGTTGCTCCCTGGGTGAAGAATTATGAGTACCTGGTGGCACTGGGAAATAATGGGACCACATCTTCACCCACATTAGTTGTAAATACCCAATTATGTGAAGATTACAAAAACACTGTATTAACAACTGTATGATGCTATTGTGGGGGGTCTGTAGGTGTGTGTATGTCTTCATAATTGTGTCTTCACACAAAGAAACTCAGAGGGTGCCCATTGTAGGGCTGATGGTGAAAGTCACGGTCCTGATCTGGACAGTTTATTTTGTGGTTGTGGGGACCGAATCCAGGATATAGTGCATGCTAAGCAAGTACTCTACGACTGGGCCACACCCAGTTTTGTACACTGACTACCTCGGGAAGTTGCTTAGCTCTCTGAGCTTTGGTGTTCCTTCTACTAGGCTGTACAAAGCACCTCGCAGAGCACCTGGCCCGCGGCCACTCACCCAGCTCTCTGCTGGGGACTGTAAGTGGTGGGTGCTCCCTGCGTTTCCACACCCAGCAGCCAGAGCTCACTCTCTACATCAGCTCCCCACGTCACGGATAGTTCCGACTGCAGCCGTGCTCTACACAAAGGCAGGTGCCTCCCAGGCCCACCCTCGTCCCAGTGGCCACACTCAAGGGCCCACTATCTGGCAGAAGACACTCACCCCCAAGAAACCGGGCAGCTCTCGGGTCAACAGCTCCTTCAGCTCAGACTTGTTCAGCTTGAACTTGTCACCTTCTTTGCCCGAGTACTTGTGGAAGGTGGACACCATCGCATCCAAGGCATTCTCCAGGGGAAAAGCCATGGCCGCCTCCAACCTGGGGACAGCAGGCACCAAGGCAGCCTCATCCCCATCCCCAGCCGTGAGTTCAGAGTGATGTGCTCCACCCCCATCCTTGAGGTCCCACCTGGGGGTGCCCAGGAAAGTGGGTCCAGTTCCCAGCAAGAGAGATGCACAGTGGGAAATGCAGGCTGCAGGCAGCAGATATTTGCAAGCCCTGGAGATCCTGGCAGCCAGTTCCTGGGCCTCCCTCAGGCCTCTCCTCAACAACAGCATTTTCCCACCCCCACTAAATCCAACCACTCCCACAGTTCAACCACAAGCACAGCGTACACCCGGCTCAGACCCATTCTTCTGCCCCCAGTGCAGGGCGAGGCTGCGGGAAGCCTGCCCACAGCCCTGCAGTGGAAAAAAACAGCCACCAAGTGCCCACAGCCCAGTGGAGGGAGGCAGGAAGAGGTGGCAAAGTGTGAAGGAAAGGTGGGGCGGCCAGGCTCTCAGGCTGAGCAGCTGGGCACCTGCAGGGACTCGCGGGCTCTACCGGTCAGAGGCCCGTGGGGGTTTCTGCTTTGCTTCCGACTCCCAAGGGTGCACACATGAGCACATGCAACCCTCAAACACAAGCCAGCCGGCCTACCCTGGGTCATGCACACCACGCACACTATAATAACAGCTCTCATAAGCCCAGCATCTCAGAGCTCTTGTAGAGCTCAAATCGAGCCACCTGCACACTTTTCTGTTTTTCACTCTCTTCCCCTCTCCCTCCGTCCTTCTCTCTCTCTCTCTCTCTCTCTCTCTCTCTCTCTCTCTCTCTTCCCCTCCCCGCCCAGAACCTCCACAGTACTCTCACATCTGGACCTCTTCAGCACATCTGGCCCCCCAAGCCTCCCCTTGTGCTGCACCAACTCACACTCTGACTACCCTTGCACAACTTACCAGGCCGAGAGAGGAAGTGCTGAGCAGAGAGGTTTGGGGAGAGCCCAGCAGTCTGACCTATTTATGCCCAGTGAGGCCCAGCCCATGAGGGGCTGGGGAAGAGCAGACACTGCCCTCCTGCCATAGGCTGAGCGAGTGCCCCAGCCCAAACCTCCCCACAGCAGCCCAGCCTGGAAGCTTCCTACCCCCCATGCAGACACACACACAGGCAACGGGCGAACCCTTCCGATGTCACAGGGACCTCGATGGAGTGGCACCTCTCATAGTCCACAGATCAGCCTGGGGGAGGGACAGTCTGTGGTGGGGGTGTGGAGTAGTCCCACCAGGCACATAGCAAAGGGGGTGCAGGGTGCTGGGTGACAGTGGGAAATTGCAGCTGCCCAAGAGCTGGAGAGGAGCGCGCAGGCCCATGCTGTGGGACAGCTCGGCCAGCCCTTCGCTCCGCCCTGAGAGCTCTCATCCATGTCCACAGGCCTGGGGTGGAGACTAGTGGGCCAGAAGAGGCTCTGGGACCCCCTAGGAATGGCAGAGAGAAAGGTCCTGGAGGGCTAATGATGCAGGGGAGGTGGGAGCAAGGTGTGGGGCTCAGGCAAGGGTGAAAGTGTACGAGTGATGGTGAGGAGGGTGTTCAGGGTCGGGAGGGATGTCAGGAATAAAGAACCCAGGTTAGGGCGCAGAATTAGAAGTGAAATAGCACAACCTGGGGGAGCCAGACTCAGAGTTAACCTGTCAGGATGGGGCCTGAACTCAGAGATTGAGTGAGAGTCGAAGTGGGGCTTAAAACCCCTAAGCAGTGGCTGGGAGCAGCTGCCTCAGGGGTGGAGGCTGCCCCAAGGTACTCCATCCTCCTCCGACACAGATCACCCTCTTCTTGGCTTCCAGCGAATACCACAGATGCCCTAAACCGATTACTGCTGCTCTCTGGGCTCCTATTCCACCCACAGTCCACCCTCCTCCCCAGAACATCCGGTCACGAGAACTGAGGTCTGTCCCCGGAGAACCCTTCCCCCATTCTTTTTTTGTTTTGTTTTGTTTTTTGTTTTTTCCACCACTAGGAACTGAACTCCTCCAGCATGCTAGGCAAGAATGCTGCCTTTGAGTTAAAGTCCCCAGCACCCTCCAGCTGTTCCTAACAGGACTTCTCCTTCCAAGTCACATAGCTCAAGAGATACAGAGGGGAGAGAGTTTGGGGTCCGCTGGCCTCCCCTGGACTCCTTGTGTCAACTTCACCCGTCCCACGTGAACACTGAGACAAGGTGCCCATGCAGAGCTCTGGCTCCTGCCCTTGGCCTCCTTCCTCCTGTGGAAATGGCCAGGGAGTAGGACTCCATCCCATACCCAGAGAGTCCACTCAGAAGAACCAAAACGAGCCACGCAGATGATACGTCTTTATTAGGACTTGCACAGGCCCTTCTACCACAGTTTCATTGACGCACACACTACTGGGCCCCCAGGACTTTTGTGACAGAACCCCACCTCCTCCTACCCACAGAGAGAGGGAGTGGAGGTGGGAGCTGCCCTCCCCTCACCAGCTGGGCATCCAGGAAGTTCTCATGGGTAAAAAGAGTTGGCATAGGAGGGGCAAGCCAGGGGCGGGTTGGCTCCAGATTGGAAGGGGTCCAGGAGAGCAGGGAGGGAGGGTGAGGGAGACGAGCCCAGGACCCCCTCAGGGCACAGATGGAGCTGCCTGGAGCAGACCTTGCCTCTCAGGCCAGCATAGCCCTCTGGAGCAAAGGCTACTGAGGGCAGGAGGGCTCCGGGGGGCAGTCCCTGAAGTACTTGTGGCAGAAGAGACAGATGCGGGCAAGTGAGTGGACATACTCCTCAAAGTCCACCTCGTTGTCCTTGTTGGTGTCCAGGGCACTCAGAAGTTTATTGTAGTCACACTCCCGAAACTCCATCTGTGAAAGAGGGGTGCAGAGGGAGAAGACGCAGGCTGAGGAGGGTAGAATAAGTGTTCACAGCAATCCCACCCCACCCTCTCCTAGGGCCCAGCCTCAGCCTACCTGGCTGACAGTGTGATTTCCATCTGATTCCCAAGTCCCCCTTCTCAGGGCACTGACCGAGTGCCTGCTCTGTGCTACTGAATCCTGAATTCTTCACCCGGCTGCCCCTAATTGTCCCAATCTTTTTGAGAACAAGAAGCGATTGCCATTCCATTTTACAGGTAGGAAAGTGAAAATCAGGCATGGTGGTGCCCGCCTGTGATCCCAAAACTAGAGAAGCTGAGACAGGAGAATCATGAGTTCTAGCCCTGCCGGGATTACAGGCCCTATCTCAAAAAACAAAAATATCACAACAACAACAAAAAGAAAAGTTCATTTGGTCCCTTCCCAGTGTCTCCTCACCACAGTGTGGTCTCTGCCCTTGGCTGCCCTCTGCTCATGCTGTCCCCAGGTCACTCTAGTGCCTCCCACTGGGTGGAAAGGGCAGGTGCCAGGTACTCACTGGGGTCCAGGTGGGCAGCTCCTTCCGCAGCAGCTCCTTGAGCTCTGTCTGGCAGAGCTTGTGCTTGTCTCCAGAGAGATGGCTATAATCCTGGAAGGTGACGATGACCGTCTCCAGGGCCTGCTCCAGGGTCATCCTCACTGCTACAGAGCAAGTCTGTGACTCTCAGCAGAAGTCAAGCCAGCCCCTCTCTGGCTGCCCTCGGTGTTTCCCAGGGGCTGTTCCCACGCACACACCTCCTCTGAGCACCCCTCACCACCGCACCAGGCCTTCTGATCCCTCTCCCACATCCGCTTGTGATGTTCCTGGACAAGCGCTCGTTTCCCCAACTTTGGTGCCAACTCCTCAGAGAGAGAACACCCCACCCCATCACCCTCCCTGATGACTCTCTCTCCCACCTTTCCTCGCCCCCACAATCCCTAGAAACGGCCCTGTGCCCCAAACCACCTTGAGAGGCAGGCCCTGGTCCTAAAAGTCCCCTCCCCTTTGGGATCCCAGAGGGCCTTCTGGTGAGAACTTGCAGGGGATCCTTGCCGGGGCTGAGTCTTGGCAGGGCAGGTCAGCCCTGAGAGGAGACCTCCACCTCACTGGCCCCTGCCCTGAACTCAAGGGTGCTGCAGCCACAGGAAAAACTGGGATCCTCTGCCCCTTGCTAGCTCTGCAACCCTGGGTGAGCCATCCCTCTCTGGGTCTCAGGTGCCTTCTCAGAAAGAGGGATGAATCCCCCACACAGGCTGAGTCATGTGCACCAACCAGGGGCCCCTGGAGAGGCAGCCAGCCCCCGGCTGAGGCCACTCTCTGGCTCCCGGGGGTCTTGAGATAGGAGGCTCATGCAGAATGCCCGGTTCTGGTGAAGAAGAATCTTCCTGGAATTGCTCCCTCCCTTAATCCCGCTGGCCCCTTCCACACCCTGCTGGGCTGGTGCCTCAAGCCTGGGGAAATCCTGAGCAGGCAGGAAAGCAAGAATTGCTTCCATGTGAGCCCAGTGAGTCAGTCCTCATCCCCCCAGTGGATGGGAGTCCTGCCCGGGAGTGGGGCAGCCCGGGTCAGTGCTTTCTCCCCAGTGATTCCTGTTCCAGCAGGGGATGGCCAGGGTGGTGTGGCTGCAGGGAAGCGGGAGAAGGGAGCAGGGCGCAGAGCACGGCTAGGGTCTAACGCCTTGTGGCAGCCTGGGTTGGAGCAAGAGGTCCATGCTCCCAGGAGAGGAAAGAGCACGTTTACCAGAGTCAGGAACCGCCAAGGTATGGCGTGCCCTTCCCGGCTCCTGCCAGCCACCCTGGCAGCACCTTTGCTGCTGTTTCAAAGCTTGGGTCCTGGGACTGGTGGGAAGCGTCTTTCCCTACAGCCCTGACCTATCCCAAGCGGTCCCTCCAGTGAAACAAGAAGGAAAGTTCGAGGAAGGCAGGGAGCTAAGGGCAACACCAGAACTTTTAGCCTATCGCTCCCACCCCAGGCCAAGCCCAGATCTGTACACCCCCAGCCCCACAGCCCCTCCTTACTGAATGCAGGAATCCCTGTCCGCCGTAGCTGACTCCCCTCACTGGGTTACCTGCTGTAGTCATTTCTCTGCTCAACGCCCAGACCCCGGGTCAGGAGCAGGCTGGATGTCAGGAGTTCCCTGAGCAGCCCTCAACCCGGGGGACCCACTCAGCCGACACTCACCGCTGGTGTTGTCCTTTCAGCTGTGGGAGCCCCGAGACTGGGCTCCCTATTTGTAGCCTCCCAAGGATGAAAGGGGCAATTACAGGCGTCCAAGCAGGTCAACGCTGAGGCTGCCCTCGGGGGCTCCCTTGCTGCCTTTCTTCAGCAGCCCCTTTTACAGGTCCACCCGCCCACCTATCCACGCACACATCAAAGATCCAGGCCGGGCCTCACATACCAGTCACCATTCTCCTGTACCCCCACCCACGACTGGGAACCAAGGACAGCCTCCTGCTGCGCCTTCCAGCTCGGCACACCTCACACCCTGGCCGCATCTCTCTCTGAAGCGGCACCCCCACCTCGGCTGTAGCTCAGAGTTCACATGTGGGAGTGCCTTGAGCACCTGGCTGAGACCCCCGCTAGCGATGAGGAGGCCGAAGCTGTCCTAGCTCTGCCACCAGCTGAGACCCCCACTGCACAAGAAGACCGAGGCCGAGTGGCTCTGCCAGCAGCCACGGACTCCCAGACTGCTTGGGTGCTTGGTTGCTTTTGGCTAGGAACTGCCTGCTTCCCCGAAGGAAATTACTGTGGGATGTCTCCAACAGGCTGGACTTGAGTTTTCTTGCCACTCTACCCACGGGACATGAATGAACCTGGGTGCAGGCTTGAGGGAAAGCTGGCTGGGCTAGAGCCCTTCAGGGGCTGTGTCCCTCTTCCTGCTCAGCTCAGCACCAAGGCAATTCTAACTCTCCTTGCAGTCCTGGGAGCACAGGGGTGGAATTCCCTAGCCTGTTAGCTTAACGTGTAGCCCTTTGGGGTCCCAGCATGATGAGGGATGTCTCTCACTTGGGTCCCCTGCTCAGATGAGCCCTGGGCTGCAGCTTCCCCGAACTGCTGAAGCCAAAGCCCAGGTTTGGCTTTGGTTACTTAGCCAGTGTCCTCAGATATGAGGGCCCCTGCACCCTGCTTACCTCCTGATTCTGCTTTCACTTAGATTTTGACCAACTCATTCCTTCCTGCCTAACAAGGCTGTTTGGTGCTTTGAAAAAGATTATTTTCATTCTAACCAATATTTCCTGTTTTAGCTAGAGTAGACAGATCCTGTCATATTACGAGAAGTAGAAACTTCTTCGGACCACTCCTCTAATCCAATTCCCCAAGTCACCAGGGGAACCTCAGGTAGGGAGAAATGTGGGAGGGGAACATGAGCTTGGCTCACAGGCCTGTAAAAAAGCCCTAATGCCAGTGGCAGCGCCCAGAGAGTTTATAAAAGCCATGACCTCTGCCTGGGCCCACCCGGCACCTAGCCTGGCCTGGGCCATCTCGTCCTTCCTGGAGACCCTCGCCCAATGGATGAGAGAAGTGAGCAGTAGGGCAAAAGAGAAGGGAGAGCTGTGATTAACCCTGTTTTATGGGTCAGGAGCTACGGGGATCAGAATACAGGGGCACAGCAGAAACCAGCACTGGAGTGGACCAGCAATTAATTCTGCCCTGGATCATTACTCAGGGCTTCATTTTCCTCATCTGTCAGTGGTAAAGGGTACTAATATAATCCCTCAGAGCATTGCTGTAAGGCTTAAATGAGTTAACACACAAATCTCATGGAATAAATAGTACCCACTACATAGTAAGGCCTTGATAAATACTAACCAAGAGGCAGTAATTTTCCCAAGGTCACATAAGCAGTAAATTGCAACATTGGGAGCCACTGGTTGTTCACATCAATGTTTAGAGGCATCTACATAGGCACTGAGGGTGGACCCATAAACAGAACCAGCACAGCACCTGTTCCAGTGAGGCAGCAATCTCCTGGATGAAGGAGACAGTAACAAAGGAGTGTTTAATAGGCTGGTGATATAAGTGCTCTGAGGAAAAAAAAAAGCGAAGCCGAGAGAAAAAGAATGATTTTGGTAGGCTGGAAGTATAGCTCAGTGGTGGAGCATTTGCCTAGCTTGTGTGAAGACCTGAGTGGAATCCATAGCATTGCAAAAATGAAAGAGAAGAAGAGAGTCGTGGAAGGACAGAGGGAGGGAGGGAGAAGGAAGGAAAGAAACTGATGTTGGAGAGGAGCTGCCTCGTACTTATGCCCAGGAAGAGCCCAGCAGCTCAGTCCCAGAGCCCGCGTCCTGAGCCACCATCTTTCAGTGTTGCTGGGCATAGCCACATTCCCAGGATGCAGCACCTCTGTCTACTGAAGAGACCGGAACAAAGCTGCAGAGGGCCAGGATCACGCTCAGGACGCCAAACTTGCAGGGCAGCTAAGGAAACAGAGAGGACTGGGTACAGGCTTGGGGCTGGAAGACAATCACGGAGGAAGCCGTAACCGGACCCTCACTGAATCCCTGCCACCCTTCCCCACCTTGGTGCCTTACGCCACTTACTTTATGAGGCCTGATCTCCTTGCCCCCAAAATGGGTTTGGAAAACTCCGCCCCTAGGAATCGGTCGAGAGAGCTTCCCATCGCTGGCCGCTCCTGTCGACACATCGGACAGCAGGGTCTGAGTCCCTACAGACACGCACTGAGGGACATGGACAGGCCACCTCCTCCTCACCAGGTCATCTTGCTCAGCCTTCTGCCTCCTCGCAGACGGAGGACAGAAATGTAACTTCTCTTCCCTTGCTCCCCCAAACTCTCCTTAGAGTGACTGAAATCACTATCCCGCCCTGTCAGTTCTCCAGTGTCTACCCCGAGCCCCCTTTTCTGCAGTGCTCTGAGTGCATGACACATGAACTGCCCCCGAGGCCTGCATGGGCTTTCTCAGCCTTAGAGCCCTGCAGCTGGTCCGAGCCCAGCCCCACGTCCTCCCACCTTCCCAAGCTCCCAGTGTTAGACGTGGAGCTGACGGCCGAGAACTGCAGCGCATCTGGAAGCTGGGCGTCGGCGGTGGAAAAGGGTGAGAGGAGATGATGTGCCATCCGATCCGGCAGGACGTCTTACAGCACTGACCTTCCTCTCTCCTTCCTCTGCCTTTGTCCTATCGCTGCCATCGATGACCACACTAAAAGGCCCGTGTCTGGTCTTGCACCTCAGGGCAAAATAAGATGAAATATCCTATGCACCTGGACATTCCACGCATTTGTGCCCCAGGGACAGGGTGGCCTGCCCCAATCCCACAGCCCCGTGGGGCCAAGGTACTTAGCCAAACCACTGCTTTCCTTTCTCATCTTCTGCGCCAAGTATAGGGGAGCACGGAAAGAAGTATCGGGTTACTGGGGCTACGGCTGAAGCTAGAGAGGCCTTCGCCACAAGAGTGCGGCGGGAAGTACGACGAGGGTCTGAGCCAAGACCCAGGAACAGGGTGGGGGGACCTAAATAACCCTCTGGCTTCACTTGCTTTTACTTGACTTTCATTTTCACCGAGCGTGGTGGGGCACGCCTGTAATCCCAGCACTCAGGAGGCTGAGACAGGAGGATCTCTGTGAGTTCAAGATCAGTCTCAACTACTTAGTAAGATCCTGTCTCAAAAAACAGCAAGCAAAAACTTGCTAATTTTGGAGGTTGTGCAGCTGATGCATAGTCTCCCGCTAGCTTAGCTCTGACTGTGTGTTATGACAGTGGTCACCTAGCTTACCCTTCAGGAGTGTTAAGGCTGTTTTTGGTGAAAGCATGAACTCTTCACTCAGACCTACAAGTGTCCAGTTGATGGCACCAGCGGAGTGAAGAAGACCTGCCATCCCTGTTTCCATCTTGTATCTGTATCCTGTGCTATCTTGACCATTAGGTCAGATTCCTGCCCAACTCTGCATGTGTTAGTCACTTAAGGAATGTTTGTCCCAGACTTTGTCCTAAATTTACTCAGTCTCTCTCCTTCTGCATGGTTGAAAACGTCAAGGTAAGAGCATCTAAGATATTTCCAGAAGCATGATGAGCTTGTGATTATGCACAGACCAACAACCAGGTTTCTCAGTGACCACAGGAGAGGTTCTGTCTGAAGGCCTCCAGTCACCAGTCCTTTTCTAACCTAAGCCTGGCTTTCTGAGAATAGTAAGGAGTTTGAAACCCAGACAGAGTTGCAGAGTTCAGTTAAGATGGGGAGGGGTCTTTTTAGGATACTAGCCCACCACTTCCTCCTTTTTTTTTTTTTTTTTTTTAGTACAGGGAATCAAACTCAGGACCTTGCACTTGCAAGGCAGGCAGCAGGCCACTGAGCTAAATCCCCAGCCCTCTACCATTTTCTCTTTTGCTGTCATCCAATAAGTCTTTTTCCTTGTCCCAACAACTTGACCTCAATTTATCCTACCCCATATCAA